TTGAAGGGTTGAAAGAAGAAAATACAAAGGTGAGTTGGCTTTTGGATGTACGGTAGGTTTTTTTTATTATTATTCTTTTGTTTGTGAGGGTTGGATGGTGTGTAATTGGTTTTGTTTTTTTTTCCCTCCTTTTTGTATTCTTTTGTAATTTTCTTTTTATATTCTTTTCTCTTTTTTAATTAAAATTAAAAAATAACCAAAGGAATTTAATCCTAAAAATTTATAAAAATGCTTAAAAATCATTAAAAAAATCAAGAAATAATGTGACATGCAATTTTTTGATTTTTTTATAAAATAAAAATTATGAGGAGTTAAAAATAGGTTATGACAATCTTCACCTTCCTTCGCTTGATCATCCGCCTCTTTATCCCTCCTTTCATACTTGTAAGATCTTTCAAGAACGTGTACATTCTCTTACTTCAATTTAGCCATGGTGATTCGGTGATGTTGTTTTCTTGGCAGCATCATCACAAAACTTGTCAAAGACACGTGGAACGGTAACGTAATCTTATACCAAGTCGACACTAGTTTTTTTTATGATTTTAGAGCAAACCAAATCCTCTAAGTCTTTTCTTAGTTTCTACCAAATTGATTCCTTCGAGATGCAAAGAAGTTGAAACCTCTTTCTTTAAAATATAGATGAAACAAAAATATCTAATCCAAGTTTGGTTACGTCGAAACTTTTTCAAGCAAAGGAAACCTTAGCTTTGATTTATTTTAGCAAGATTATTGAAACCCCACTATAATCTAGCTAATTGATTTAATTTTAGATTATCTTGATGAGATTTACAACCCCACTAAACTCTTAGTAAGAGTTTTTTGTTGATCGATAGCACTAGTTTGAATGATCCAAGTCATGATATAAAACACAAATCCTAAAGAAAGAACAAGGATATGTACAATTAAGAGAAACATCTCAAAATTTTTATTAATCAATACTGAAAGTTGTTTCTTTACATTGCATAAGAATCTTACTTTATACTAGCTCGTATTTGGCCACATCAAGAAACATTTTCCTTGTTACATTTAATCATCCTAGTCCAATCCATACTCGTATCCCAAACATATATGAACTCATTAATTAACTCCAAGTACAAAAGTACTTCTTATGTTAAATAAATTCCAAAATAAACAAACTACTTCTAATAAAGAAAATCGATAGCCTAAATCAAACAAGGTAACCGAAATAAACAAGATAACCTAAGCAAGATGAAAATTTTGACCTAAATACAACCAAACATTTGGCTTAGTTAAATCTTGAATTATTCGGCCTAGAATGAAAAGTTGGGTCACACTCCCATGTCATTTAGATTTGGAATTTTTATTTATTTATTATTATTATTATTATTATTATTATTTTAAACACAATGAAGTCTACCTCAAGATATGTTTTTCTTCTTGCTAAAGGAGCTATAGCTTGGAGAAGTACCAATCAAACTATTGTTTCTTCGTCTACTATGAAAGCATAATCTTATTGTATTCTATGAATCAATGACGGACTATCTAATTAAAAAATTTTATTTACGGTCTAAAAGTTGTCAATTCCATATCTTGAATAGTAAAAATTTATGGTGATAATTCACATGCAATTTTCTTTTCTAAGAATAATAAGAGTGGAAATAAATAAATAAATAACGTATCAATATTTTGTATCTCATTGTGAGAGAAAAAATGAATTATTCAACCTAGAATGAAAAGTTGGGTCACACTCCCATGTCATTCAGATTTGGATTTTTTCTTGATTTTGTAGACACAAGAAAGTCTATTTCAAGATATTTTTTTCTTCTTGCTTGAGGAGCTATAGCTTAGAGAAGTGCTAAGCAAATTGTTAATTAATAAATTTTATTTCTAGTCTAAATGTTATCAATTTTATATCAATACCATTAAAAATTTACTATGATAATTCAACTGTAATTTTTTTAAGAATAATAAGAGTGAAAGCCGAACAAATGCATCAACATAATGTATCTCATTGTGACAGAGAAAGTGAATAAGCATGATATGCTTATTGAGCATATTAGCACTGAACTAATGGTTATGAATCCTATGACCAAAACATTGTCGTGAAAACAATATAAACATCATATGGATCATGTAGGTCTAGCTAACTCATTTGATGTTTAATTTATTTTCTTTTTATTAATTGTCTAGATATTATTATGTTATCCTTAGACATTGATGTGATTTTTAAACACAAAGTATCAACTTTTTATATTTATTATAATATATAAAATTAGACTTAAATAACTTATTGAAAGTTCATTTATAAAATTTTAAGAATAAAATATATTGTAATGCATAAAAAAAATACTTGATTGTAAATTATAACTATTACAATTCATTTGTTATATCCTTAATTCAACCATAAATATTTTTACTTACTAACTATTCCAGATTCTATAAAGAAATTGTTACTTTTTAAATAGTGTCATATAGATCAAGTGAAAAAATTATTGTGATAAATATCTGTTAATACGAAACCTTATGTCATGTCTTATGTTAAATTAATACTATTTATTATTGAGAGAGAGGTTTTTTTTGTGCCCAACTTTTGATTATTATTTTTTTTTCTATTTTGGTGCCCAACCATTGATTTCTCATGATTTGCTACCCAAATTTTGATCTTTTGTTTGTTTTGGTGCTCGAGTTCACTCGAGTTCTAATTTTGCTAGCGTGTCGAGCAAGATCTACAACGTGACGATCAACTCTTTCATGTCGGCACCTCATACTCTCGAGCGGTATGGGCACTCAAATAGACCAAAAAAAAAAAATTCAAAGATTAGGCATTGAAACATTAAAATATATATATATATATATATTGGGCTCCTAAAAAGAAAAGAAAAATATCAATGGTTGGACACCAAAAATATAATTTTCTAAAGAAATTTATTTCAGTTTTCACATCAAATGTCCATCCCCTTCTTATACTCGATATATATTTTTTCTTTATTATAAATAGATTTCATTCATTTCTTATGCTTTATATATATATATATATATATCTCAATTTGATATTGTAAGTCATATAATTTTAAATTCTAAAAACATCAACAATTACATGCATGCATATTTTCTTGTTATTATACTAATTGCACAAGTAATTTTAACAATGCATTTATTTTTTAGCTTAATTCATAGTTTACTTATTACCTCTATCATTATTATCATTGCTATAAAAAATATTATGCTTTAAACATTCAAATCAAAAGCTTGATCACTAAACTTATTTATGTTGATTTTATCCCATCTCGGTTTATTATAAGGAGTTCGGTAAGTTATTGGCTCGGCAAATTTATGTTACTCATGATATGTTGGTCAATTTTCTCCACAAATAGTGGAAGCAATTTTTATTTTTTGTAACTTTTTTTATTGACCAACCATTTGTTCCACAAATGGCAATCATAATTATATCTTATATTTTTTTTACTTTTCTAAATTTAATCTTAATTAGAACTTATATGCATTTGGATTAAATGAACTAACTTTAAATTTATCTTTTAGAATTTTTAAAAAGTAATTTTTAACTAATACAAAGTACTAAAAATTACCATTAATAAGTAAAAAAAAATGCTGCAAATATGATATGAAAAATATTTATTAGAATTGTTAGAATAATTTTGCAATCTTAACACAATAAATTTCTTTAAAAAAAAAAAAGAAAAAAAAAAACTAGATTTTTGGTATCCAATCTTTATTTTTTTTATTTTTTTCTATTTCAATGTCTAACCTTTGATTTTTTTTTTTCCCTATTTAAGTATATATAGCTATATGAGAGTATAAAGTGCTCACATGGTAGAATTGACTACCACATGACAAAGTTGACTGTCTTATGGTATTTTTTTATTACCATATGGCGAGATCTTACTAACTTGTTAGTGAAATTAGATTTCATGTGAACTCAAGCATCAAAACAAACAAAAAATCAAAACTTATATAACAAATCATGAGAAATCAATGAGTGAGCACTAAGAAAAAAAAATCGAAAGTTCAACACCAAAAAAAAATTTCATTTATTATTTTATATAAAATCTATAAGTGATAATTAAAGACTTAAAGCCCATTGAATTCAAATAATGAGGTAGGCATATCTATAATAATGAATGAACGTGTAAAAATTAAATTAGAGAAAAAAATCTGTAATCTAACCACTTAAATATTATATAAAATCCTGTGTTATCCATCCTCATACAAAAAAACTTATATGAACATGTAAAAATAAAAAGTACAAGGTAAAAAATTCTTCTTAACAACGCTTTAAGTATTAACTAGATGAAAAGACTCTTTTCTTCTTAACTTTTTCTTAAAAAATTGTTGAGTACTTAACCATAACCTAAAATATATATCCCACTAATTTCTACAATGAGTGTCTATCTTTTAACATATTTAATATCTCTGACATCTGACCTAGCAACTCAGGGATGTGCAGACGATGCAACAAAGAGCCTGAAACAAACTTTGCTTTACATTCATGCTCGTTGGCGGGCTAGTTGTCTGTCAAAAGCTTGTGAGTTTCTCTTGCGACGAGGAGTTTTTTACTTCGGGGCTAAAGGATTGGATTCACAAATATATATTTAAACAAACATGAAACACAATCAAAAGCTACGGATGGTGAGAGAAATTATTGGATAAAATGACTAGGACAATCAAGAAGGAATGGATCCATCCTTTAGGGTGTCCCAAATAACTTATGTTTGTAAGCTCATGGTGGCCGTGTTAACCTAAAATTTTCCCCTGCAGACACGCGAAGCCTTTCCCCTACACTAAATATCAAAAAGGCTAATCTAAACATACATCATACACTCATAACTTGATTTCATAGTTGATATGATTAAAGCATGGAATCTCTTTAACACCACACCCTTCCATTACTCCAAACCACTTCTTACACATACAAGCTCCGAAAAAATAAGCACCACAAATAGTAACAAGAAAAAGAAGCAAAAGAAATGGGACTGAGAGGAGTGTTGGCCTGCACAAATACGAGTAACTTCACATAATAGTTACGTCTCTATTTTGAGCAAAGAATTGAGGGATGTGCTATTGAATCGTTGAGCAAAGCCCCGCATCACAAGTACGATAACATCCCGCAAATGTCGGGAGTGGACCATCAGGTCTACTTCATTCTCACTATCCCCAACAATCCTAAGCCGATGTTGGTCATTTCGGAAAAGCTCCACCTGGAAAAATCTTTAACCTTAGGTTCTGTACTATTAAGATACAGAAGAGCAAATAAAAGTGCACGAAGCTTAAACTCCGATCATTGACAAAAAATAAAATAGCATACAAGAACCATTTTTGTGATTTAGGAAGAGACAACATGAAATGAAATGCATCACCAAAAATTTTTATATTTTTAATAGGGACAAGTTTTTTCTTTTTTTTACCATAATAGAATCTTTTAAATTTATTTACCAAACTATGATGCTACAAGCCATGTAGATCCTACCTGAACCATCCATGTCACTCTTTGTTCCTAGATGATATACATGACTAGGTAAACACCTACCTCTGGATTTTGATTTAAACAATTGAACTTTGATATACAGTATACAAATCGCTTTCATATCTTGGATTCCAACTGCTATACTTCCAAACATGCTTTTTGTCCCTCCTTATGTGCTTGAATTCCCAGCAATATTAACATAAACAATGGAAATTTTCTCTCTTTTTTTTTTTTTTTTTTTTTTTTTGGTCCAAAATAAAAACTCAGAGATACACGTCAGTACCATATCCTTGAATTCCATCTATCGTTTAGCCCCTGCTTTCTTAGCAATCCTTAGAACCGGAAAACCCTACATAAACTTTAGATATATAATGATATACCTTCGAAGTTACTTCCTCATTAACTTCCATAGTCCTTACAACTGATCTACAAAATCATTGCATAGATACTCTGAGCAGCCTAACTACATCTTCTAATAGACATCCACAAGGCCATGTGCATCAAGATCAACAAGAGTAGATGAATTTCCAAGATGTCGATTTATTTTAGTAAGACATTACTGGTTAATGAAAGAAAAAGAATGACATGGCAAAAGGTAGTATCTTGGTTTAGGAAATAAGTTTTAAAGGAACCCTATTTTGATATAAAAATAATAAAGTACGGTTTGTGAAAAAAATCCTCCTGAAATGGAAACCTAAAACCAACTCCTCCTTGAAATCATGATATTAAAGAAGTTTGGAGGAATAGTGTGTACCACAGATCTAACTAAGCAGGATGTATACAAAAGTAATGAAGTTCAGACACAAACTCACATGAAAGGGAGGAGCATAACTTCCACGAATTTCCGTTGTTGGAAATGAAGTCTTAGAACCTGGCTTCACAACCTTCACTCGTTTTCTATTAACTTCTAATATTCTTCTCTCAAGACTACCCTCTCCAAGAACCTGCAACATTAACAACAACAATAAAATGCTGCTTTATTTTTTACTATTTCAACTGCAATATTCTTCTCTCAAGACTACCCTCTCCAACAAACCTTTTTTGGAGAACGGTCTTTGTCACATAATGCCTGCATACAAGAATTGCAGTCAGTTTAGGAATTACGTAAAAGAAATACATATAAGAGAACTGCTTCGGACAGTTGAGACTACTGCATCCGTTCACTTAAAGTGGTCTTCCCCACCCACCACAACCCCCCCCAACAAACACCCACACCCACACACACTCCAAAATAAATAAATAAATAAAGGGGTCAAAATTCATCCCCTATACTCCCACACAACCACCCCCAAATTAAAAGGATTCTAGCATATGAGATGTATGACAAAACCTAAAAGCTTACAAGGCAGTAACAATCAATTAGTTTAGAAGAACCTAAATTCAGCATAATACTCAAAATATACACACCTCAAACTTCACAGATCCAAGTTCAAGCTTCTGCTTAACTTCTTTAAGAACATCAGGCTCTGAAAATTAGTCATGCCAAAATCAGAAAATTGATGATGTCTACTATCACAGAACTTGAGAGATTATACAGGATTGATCATAATTATAAAAGGTATATAATAGAAGCATCGAAAAACTAAACAAAGGTATGACCATGGACAGGAAACACCATGCATAAAGCTTGCCATGGTTTGTCAAAAGACTTGCAAGTCAAATCTTGTCTGGTCATAAATCAAATTCAATTTTCACATCTCATTTCTTGATCCATACATTATTTCAGGATGTTAAAGTTTGCTGCAATTTGTCCACAAAGGGATGCCCTGTGGTTAAGACTAGCCATTTCCACTTGGAGTGCTCAAGTCCAAGCATTGGGAGGGTCAGTGGGATTTATGGGAAGGGGATACCCCTATTGTGTAGTCCAAAGCCTGTCGGACCTCCCGTTGAACCACAAATAATTTCTTTTGTTTTTTTAATTCACTAATTAGACTAGAACAAGCCACAACCTAGGTTTCAATCAAATTTGGTCACGATTTCATGGCACATGATTGATATGCCAGGGAACCTTGCAAAGTTAGGTTGGCCAAAGCCCAATCAGCTTGAGCTTTCTAAAGCACTTTCTAGTAGGTTTCAAACAGGATTTGTGTTTGCATGTGTAAGAAGTTGCAGATGGATTTTGAGCTTACCGACTGCAATTGGCTCTGTCGAAGCAGACACCGGTTGTCCCTCAACACCATCGTCTCTCACAGGAGTATAAATTGCCACCAACCTGTACCCTACATCATCAACATTAGCTTCGTACATCCTTCCCACCTCCCCTGCAAGATCAAATAATTTTCCAAGTCATATATAAGTTTCTGTCATTGTTATCACTTGTACTCAAGGGGAACCCCACAACCAATATGAAACTAAACAAACGACAATATTGTCGACAAATATGTCTATGTAGAAATTTTTGTTTGAGTGTGCAGTTCCAGCATTTTAAAGAAAAATTTAATAGTTTGTCAGCTGTCATACCTGGAATAGAGATCAGATCAGGACTACCAACCATCGATCTAAGCCATTGAATTCTACTTTTGCCTTCTTTTCCTCCACTGTAACTGCCTCGAACAGCATATAAGTTGGTGTGAAAACCTCTTCCCTCAATCTCCAACTTATCTATTCTAGGTATCCCTAAAATCAAACAATAATTGACTAACTTAACAAGATGCAGAGTTCACAAGGAACAAATACTACATAATAAAAACTATAAGAATGCAATCAAGTGTTTGGCATTCAGAGAACAAAGCAGCAGTACAATCAAACTTACCAAAGAAAATGTCAACAAGAAAAAAGGAACAGAAACTTTCATCGATAAAGATCTGGTCTTGAAAATTTAGAATAATATTTAGTTTAGATGTGACAAAAATCCAAGAAAAACAATTACTTGTAAAACCAAGAAAAACTTAAAAAGAAAAGGACATAAATTCACGAGTGAATGCTTTCCGAATTATTGGATAGTTTTGATATAGAATGAGTTTAATTTAAGAGGTCTATATATATATATATATATATATATATATATATATATATATAACATTTACCATGGATTATCTAAGATCAATCATAGATTGGCACATCTGTCGGTAAATATTTAATAAAAAGGTCCAAGTATATGAGTGTGTGTGTGTGTGTGTGTGTGTGTAGAGAGAGAGAGAGAGAGATGCATAACATTACTTTCACAGCATTTGAGTTAAATGACAGCACTTTACCCTGAATAGGAAAACATCCATGCACAAGTAAAACAATTGCAATATGTGTGATGATTTATGGTCAGTTCGGAAATAGACATCCACTAGTTGGCCAAACTGTCAAAAAATTACTTTTGGAGCAATTACATCAAGAAATTAGAGTGTGCTGCATAAAATTGTTACTTAAAATCCACATGCAATCAGAGTAACTACACACATCTTATGGAGTGATACAAAAGTTTGAAATCAAATCAATGAAGATAGATTAAAAAATTAAATAATTTCCACCAAATAGAGAAAAACAGAGTTTCAAGTCAAGTGACTGTGCTCGAAAGCAAAAAGACCTGGCAATACAGAAGCAGTCTCGGCATATACTGGCTCACTTGACCTTCCAAAGACATCAGTCACAACGCATTCACATCTGAAGCATCTACCAACGTCCTCTAGTCGCAACTTGTAAGAGCAGGAGCGCTGCGCAGGCAAGTGCTCAAAAGAGTTGTCATCCCCTGTCACTGATGAACAGAACCTGCAGCATCTTTGTGTCAAATAAAAGAATGAAAATAGCTAAGGATCTATGATGAGATTCAAAAGGCTGGAAATATTTCTGACTTTATTGCGTAAATGCCAAATCTGAAATGGGAAACAGCCATCCAATGGTTATGAACATCCTTTCACAGAAAACCAGAAACCATCCCATAGTGATTTAGCAGCTATTTATGAAGATTCCCAACAGAAGTAAAATGATTTAAACATTTTTGCCTAGATAAGAATTTTGGTTCCAATAAAAATGAGGTTCTTGTTGCTGTTGTAATTTGAACCAATTTTAAAACACTTCAACTGCATTTACCCTTCATAAATATTCAACATTAAATGTTTTCTATCCTTTTTATAAGGATTTAGGAAAAGAATGCCTAACAGTACTAGTTATTACTAGAATATGTAAAATCATACAAGGAAGAAAAAAATCTTAATAGAGAATTTAGCATTGCACCATTGGTATCTGACTCCTTTCTTGTACTTGCTCCAAACACATTGTTGGGTTTCAGTCACTGGGATCACTTCAACAGCAGTAAGTACATCACCTTCGATTGCCTTTCCAGTGAGAGCAACCATTTCCACTTTTGGAACCTCTGGGACAAATAAGTAATATAGTTTAATTTGCATGATGCTCCCAAGGAGAAGTAGCCACAATGCAGCATACAAAGAGAGCATAGCATACATAATGTTCAGCAAATATGTTAATATCAGCTATAGAGTGGAAAAGAAGAATATAATGCAACAAGGAAAGTTAAAGAATCAGAGAAGGGGGGGGGGTTGGGGTTGTGGTTGGGGGTGGTGGTGTGTGTGTGGTTGGTTGGGGGGTTAACAGATTGCAAATCAACAGAGCTCCAGATAGAATACTAAGGTTACACTTGTCTACAAAAGAGTACTAGAGTCATTGCTCACCAACATTACCTTGAACTAAAAGCTTTTATAAGTATTTAGGAAGATGAATGACTTAAGCACATGGATCACTCTTCCAAAGGTTTAGGACCTAGTCCTGCCTTCCAGGAGATTTTTGTCTAGATCAATTCATTATTCCATCTAGCTAGAAAGACTAATTTACAAGAAACCAGAATTAGTGAAATTAGCAGGACAACTGGCTTTACCATGTATAGAAGTTGGGTTTAGTATTGTTACCACCAATAGTTTTTGAACAACCATGGTGATAAATCTTGATTGTCATGAGAAAATTGAATCATGAGTTCATGATGGTCTTGCCAACAACAAGAGCAAGTTTGAAGGCTTCTAAGTTGCACCTGGTCCTAGGAAAGCAAGGAAAAAATGTAGTGATAGTTAAATATTCCGTCCAATTATCGGACGGAATATTGATAGTCGGAATATTTAACTGTCACTAAAAGTGGATGCATTGAGAGGTGAAATTGTCTAATGTTCATACTGTTTTGGGCAAAATTGATAAAATAAATAGGTTTGAGACTCAACTGATAATGGGGTAATACGTTATGGGTTAAATTGAGGTTTCCACTTCTAATACCATACAATCTTCATATTCCCTGATTCAAATTAGAAACAGAACCCACAAGGATACACCTTCCTCCTTCCTAATTTAGATCAAAGTAAAAATCCCATGAATATATCCTCTTCCACACTAAACTGACTTTCCCAGCTAGTTTAGAGTTCAGATTGATTGAATTGAATCAATTCAAAGTACATTTTCACAAACGATGTATTTATTGATACTGCTCATCTAAAACGGTGAGTACTTGTGTGAGGCCCCCAGCTCCCTTACCAATTACCTAAAAGTGGTATTGAGCTAGCCATTATCCTTTTTCCTGTAACATATATTTAAAAATGCCATGTGAGTGAAAGAATCACCTAAATATGGTGAAAATGCCAAATTATTAGAATCAAACTACCTTAGAAATTTGGTTAGTTTAATTACCCTTTAGTTACTAATTGGACACCTAATCTTCGACATTATTCTAATTAGTGACACCTAGCAAACTTGGACTTCAAACCCGCCATCTTGCTTCCATTTGTTCCCTCACTTTATACTTTATAATCATAAAATTAAAACACATGTTATACTAATTAATGAGAAGAAGAAAAAGGTCGAGTATATAAGTGTGAGAGAGAGTTAGACTTAGCCATTTTTTTAGGACAAACCGTAGCTCACTAAAGAAAGAAAGGGAATGGAATTGAGAGGGGAAGAAAACGGAAAAGAAAGAAAGAAGAAAGGGAAAAGCTAGGAAATCTTTAGGAAAGCTTAAATCAAAGTAAGTAGGTTTTATGTTGCATTATGTTATGTCAAAAATTTCATTTATATGTGCTTAAATTAGGTGGTGGTTTAAAGCTTTCTATTATGTTGTTATAGGTTATTCATGTTAGTATTTTGTGTTTGATAGTTTGATGTGAAATTAATGGTTGGATTGTATATGTGATGACGAATGGTTGGTATGTTTATGTATCCATGTGTTGTGTATGCCTAAATATTTGTTGATGGGTTTGATTAAAACAAATGGGCTTGGACTAAAATTTGGATGGATTCAACCATGGTGGACATGGACTTGGAAGAATAACTTAGAAAGAAAGAGGAAATAATTCTTAAAGTATCCTTAAGTAAATCATTCGGCCTAGGTAGTAAAATGGCCAAAGTTTGGATTTTTTTTATGTAACTAAAAATCTAGAACTCAATGGTAACCCAATTAAGTATAAATTAGTAAGTTAGGATGAAAAGAAATTACATAGAAACAAAGAAAATCTCTTGCCAATTTTAAAACTCATTCGGCTTAAACCCACAAATTTTGGAGGTTTGGGTTCCAATCCTCTAACTCCATAATTAATAATCCAATTACATCCGAATAAGTATAAAATGAAATGTTGGAAGGTAAGATTTCAAAAAAATCGAAATTAGAACCTTGACCTATTAGAAGCTAAATTCGGCTAGTAAGGTTAAATTTCAAGTTAGGAATCAAATCCCACTTCAAATGCTCTCAAACGCATTTCTAGGACTAAAATATAAGAATTGATTAAACTTAATGGGCGGGTCTTGTATTCTTTACGTGACTACTATGAAAAACATATGAAATCCCAAGCATGGATTGGATTTCGAGTGTGGTATGAAAATGAGGGGTTTGGTAACCATGATTGGTGGAATGTGATACACAAAACATCACGTGCGTTATATGCATTTAGGGGTAGATCGACTTGAGAAAACAATTGAGTAAAGAAATGATGAGGTTTGATAATCGAATTGGTTTGAAATTGGATAGGTTTGGTAACCTCATCTGGATTAAATGAGCATTAACAATGAAGCTCGTGTGCATGTTCTATTAATTGATTACACCGTTAAGTGATGGATAATTTCGCTAATCGTGTGCTATAACGAGAGATAATTTCGTTGTCAATAGTAGGTGATTCGGCAATCACCGAGGAATGAGAATAGAGCAGATTTGCTAATACCTAAGGTATTTGAATTAAAATCAATAAGGAAAGGCTCGGTGATAGGATAGCATTGCATTTCACATGCATTACCCTACTTCCCGAGATTCGACTCACTTTGTTGTTATTTCATGCCATGACGAGTCAAGGCGATGGTAGTGCTGATAAAGAAGTCGCTGGTTTCTCCCAAAAAAGGGCTCATATGTGACACGAAAAACATAAAAATCTCTTTTGATTGTAACAAAAGGTACGGTATCTAGCGATGGGTAAATAACACCTTAAATATTTTGTGATTTACGTAACGGTATTCATTAAAGTTGTATAAATTTTATTATACGTATTTCTATACTTAATATGTTATTCTTTATTGGTTATGTATAATAGGAGTAAATCGGGACTTTAGTCTCTAAACCGTAACATGCTAAGTCACGCCTCTTGGGTAATTGGTAAGAGAGTTGGAGGTGTCACGGAGGTTGTATTAGAACTTTGATTCGAGTTAATCGGGTAGAAACCTAAGTGTCACATGAGCTCGAGGATCGGTGCGCTACTCAATAAGTAAAATCTACTTGATCTCTAATAAATGTGAGTGTTTAATGTCATATAGAACCCTCTCTTGGAAATATGGTTAATGGTAAGTATTGACATTGTAGATGCCGTGCCTATTCCATGTTCCCTATGCTTCGTTAGGACACGCCGACGGTGGGCCACTATAGATGTCTATTGGGCTGAGCTAAACGACCTTACTATGGTCTCGGACAAGAATCCGGTGACACATGTTATCCGGGCGCGGGACTCGATTCGGCGAATAGTATTCGTTGATGCCTTTTTTGATTAGTATTGTAGTGTGGATTTTCCGAGGATGATCGTACGACATACTCTTCTACCGAGAGACCAGCGATTCATTGTACCATGTCCGGGAGAGAGATCGATATTCTTGTCGAAATGTGATTTGATAACTACTAGTCCTTCGATAGAAGAGTCCAGTCATATGGTCATCTTCAAAAAATTCACACTATAGTACTAGTCAATAGAGGCATCGGCGAACACTATTTGTTGAATCAAGTCATGCACTCGAATAACATGTGCTACCGGATCCTAGTCCGGAGCCATAGTAAGGTCGTTTAGCTCGACCCAGTAGGCTTCTAGGGTGGCTGCGTCGTCGGTATGTCTTAGTGGCGTGGGGAACACGGAATAGGCACGATGTCTACAATGTCGATACTTACCATTAACCATATGTCAAAGAAAGGGCTATATATTACATAAAATACACGATAAACACTCACATTTATTAGAGATAAAGAAGTAGATTTTACTTATTGAGTAGCGCACCGGTCCTTAGGCTCTTGTGACACTTAGGTTTCTACTCGATTAATTGAACCAAAGCTCGATACCACCTCCGTGACGCCACCAACTCCCTTACCAATTACTTAAGAGGCGTGGCTAGGTGCGTTACAATCTAGAGACTAAAGTCTCGATTTACTCACATAATACATGGCCAATAAATAATAACATATTAAGTATAAAAGTACGTACAATAAAATTTACATAACTTTAATGAATATTGTCACAGTAACTCATAAAATATTCAAAGTGTTATTTACCCATCGCTAGACACCGTACCTTTTGTTACAATTAAAAGAGATTTCTATGTTTTTTCGTCACACATGAGCTCTTTTCGGGAGGAACAAGCAGCTTCTTTATGAGCACTACTATTGCCTTTACTTGTCATGGCATGAAATAACAACAGGATGAGCCGAAGCTCGGTAAGTATGGTGATGCACATGAGATGTAGTGCTATGTTATCACTTAGCCTTTCCTCATTGATTTTAATTTCGATACCTTAGGTATTAACAAGTTTGTTCTATTCTCATTCCTTGGTGATTGTCGAATCACCCACTCGTTGGCAACGGAATTATCTTTCGTTGTAGCACACGATTAGTGGAATTATCTATCACTTAAAGGTGTAATAAATTACTAAAACGCGCACACAGACTTCATTGCTAATACCCATTTAATCCGAGTTAGGTTGCCAAACCTATCCAATTTCAAGCCAATTCGGTTACCAAACCTTATCATTTCTTGACTCAATTGTTTTCTTAGGTCGATCCACCCCTAAATGCATATGATGCATGCGATGTTTCGTGTATCATATTCCAAAAACATGGGTACCAAACCTCTCATTTCCATACCACATTCGGAATCCAATCCATGCTTGGGATTTCATATGTTTTTCATAGTAGTCATACAAAGAATACAAGACTCGCCCATTAGGGTTAATCAATTGCTATATTTTAGTCCTAGGAACATGTTTGAGCGCATTTGAAGTGAGATTTCATTCCTAACCCGAAATTTAGCCTTACTAACCGAATTTAGCTTCTAATAGGTCTCGATCCTAATGTCGATTATTCTTGAAATCTTACCTTCTAACATTTCATTTTATACTTATTCAAATGTAATTGAATTATTAATTATGGAGTTGGATGATTGGAACCCAAACCTCCAAAATTTGTGGGTTTAAGCCAAATGGGTTCTAAAAATGGCAAGAGATTTTCTTTGTTTCTATGTAATTTCTTTTCATCCTAACTTACTAATCTACACTTAATTGAGTTACTATTGAGTTCTAGATCTTTGGTTATATAAAAAAAAATTCAAACTTTGGTCATTTTAGTACTTAGGCCGAATGATTTCCTTAAGGATACCTTAAGAATTCTTTCCTCTTTCTTTCTAAGTTATTCTTCCAAGTCCATGTCTACAATGATTGAATCCATCCAAACTTTAGTCCAAGCCCATTTGTTTTAATCAAACCCATCAACACATATTTAGGCATACACAACACATGGATACAAAAACATACCAACCATTCGTCATCACATACACAATTCAACCATTAATTTCACATCAAGCTATCGGACACAAAATACTAACATGAATAACCTATAACAACATAATAGAAAGCTTTAAACCACCACCTAATTTAAGCTAGTGAAAGAATATATTTATAAGATATTCCAGGATATATATTTATAAGGTTAAGAATTTTCACCGGAGTTACATTTCTCTTCCCAAAATTTCCGCATTCATTTAATTTTTAGGCAATTCCCCAAATTTCGGCACTCACCACACCTTTAGATAATTTTTCTCACTTCATGGTACGTTCTAAATATATGTTAAAGGAAGGAAATGGTAACTAGCTAGGTTGCCCAAAGTTCATCCCATAAATCTTCACGTAAACGCTAAGCATGTTAACATCACAAAATATTAAAATGGTACATAAATCACACCTATACTTAGTATATACATAGATAAATATTCCAGTACGTACAGCTATATAGTTAAGGATTTTCACGGGAGTTACAACTTGGTTAAAAATCCATTCGGTGAGATAATAACAACAAAGGGAAAAGGCTAAAGCCTGCAGACTGAAGGAACAGTTCAAGACCGATAAATTATTTCTCTACAATCGACTCCATGTAATTGTGTTTAAGAAATCAAAAGAGCAAAGCATCATAAATGTAGGAGACTCGCTCCCTTGAATTTCCAATTTACCTTTGGAGACTCTTCATCAACAGATAAAACAGGGAAACTAGGACAATATTAACTCCAGTTAACTATAATATCACCCACCTTTATTTTCTATTTAACTTTTTAAAAGCAACATTACTTTTTGAGGGAAAATTTGCTGCATTTTGATCTACAAGAATACAGAATAAACACGACGACACCATTGAAGAGTTGGGGAGCACATGAATATGCAGTAATAAGGTCAGCTAGTCCAGCAATTTAGTCAGCATCAACAGTTAAAAAATGCGCTCAAAATTTACCAAGTAAATGCAAAATCATATTACCCATTCTTTCCAAAAAGGAACTACACACCTGGAAGAACAATGGCAGTTGGCTCAGACAACTTAAGGTCACCTACAACTGAATCCGAACGAACGGGTGTGTACCTAGGAGAAACATTTGGACACATTAGTATAAACATATAGGAAAAATATTCTAGAGTACATTTCAGATGTTTGGCACATCAATAAATAACTAGTTTAAACTTTAAAGTACTTTCTGCTATGCCATATAGTAAAACAGAGCAAGAACAATTACCCAAACAATAAACGGCAATTGTAATCTGAATCTATGACTTCATAAGTTCTAGAGTTTGCCCCAGTGATAAGAATGATAGTTCCCTCGTTTGTCTCTCTATACCAGCTGTAGACACTCAATCCCTCGTGCCCACCAAAATATTTTCCTTCTCCAGCATAAACACCCAAAGACAGCTCCTTCACATGAACATTAGAAACTACCGGAAGAGCTGCCACGTGATATTAATTTCACATGTTAAAGAGTAAAATTCAAGGAAAAGAAGAACTAAATAAATGCAACTTCTTAGTGTAACCTGGGCCAGACCATGGATTGGTATCATGAATGGAGTATATGTAATTCAATTTAATTGATTGTACCACGGTTAAAAAAGTGTCCAAAATACAGTAGGTTCATCACATGATTAACAAAACACCAAAATGCATGCCCTTTTTATGGAAGGTCTATGACTATCTATAGCTTCCATAAAAAGGAAGGTCTTTATGTCAGCCAATGTCAAGGAACATATTATGTTGAAAATTATGAAGTACCAGGGTCAACTAGAGAGTTGGAAATTGTGACTAATGGCTTTCCACACTTTCCATCTGCACGAGTAGGCAGCCAGTACAGAGCCAAATAAGCTCCCACATCTTCAATTGAAGGAGTATATTCCCTGCCACAAGTGCACATTAGTCTCAGAAACTCATGATTAAGATAGGTCAAACACTCTCAACTCTTGAAACCTAGTATCTTATTCAAGTACTTACAAGGTTTTACCACAAATAAGAACATCATCACCAGCATTTGATATATCCAACAATTCAGATTTATTTAGCTTGTTCCTTGTTCTGAACCAAATGTACTCTCCAGCACCTTCCTGTCCACCAAAGTATGTTTTTCGTGGGATGACCTCCTGGCCCTCGCAGCAATTAGGAATCACAAGTTCCAGTCCCACTGGATCAGCTGTTTAAAAAATATAAACATAGAATAAGAGAAATTTGAGTGCAATTGCTTTTTTATAGAAAAACAAAATTGATAAAAAGAATCAGTGCTGAAAACTCTACTATATCAAAAAAAATAATAATAATAATTTCAATAACTTCAATCAGGAATCTAATGAAGCATCACAACCAAGTCAGAGGACGGAGGCTATAGATACATTAGCAAAAAGCAAAGACTCTTACAATCTTTTTGAATATGTTTCAATTACCTTTTTCCTATCAAGCATGAAACAAGATAGTTGAGGTCTCAATAAAAGAACAAGTAACTGAACTACCATCCAAGCAGTATATGTGACTAAAAACCAGTAACACCTAATTACTAAACACCCAGCAAACTATGCTTTTGAGTTCCCATAAGATGCTGTTTGGAACACTGACATGTATGTCTATCTTTAGCAAACAAGAACCTACAGCTGCACCACCTATAGTATTCAACTAGTTTTTCACCCACGCAGAACATGTAAAATTATTTCAATTTGAACATGTAGAAAGATCTTGTATGATTAGGCTACTCTGGAAATCATTCTATTTTAGGAAGTAGAACATTAGTCTCCTAAGTATTTATGTTTAATTTCCTAAATAGTAGCTGTCATTATGATTTAGAGATTTATATGTTTTTCCTAAAGAAGCAGATTAGGAAAAAATCTCTACTTATAAATATGTACAGTATTACCTCAATGTACACTTAAATAAAATATTTCTCTCCTAGAAAATTTCATGGTATCAGAATCAGGTTCTCTTATTTAGCTACTTGTTGTCCAGCCGACTGTCTATTGCTTAAACCTAAAAAAACCTATGCCCTAGTGTCCTATCCTTTAAGCCACCAAACAATGAGTAATACAGCTGTTAGTATTTTGCCCATAAAGGTACAGCTCTTCGTGCAAAAAATACAAATACTTGGATGCTTTACTCTGGGGCATCTGACCATATGACAAGTAACTTGTCTCTGTTTTCAACCCATACTCCTTGTCACGAGAATTTCAGAGTTAAACAAGTTGATGGTACTGATAGGCCCCTAGTGTGCATGGTTACACAAGAAGAGGAAAGAGAGGCCCAACCACCACCAAGTCAAGGAAGTTTGTTAGGCCAGCTGCTGATGACAAAATTCTTGGAATATTCTCTATTGAGTTTGTTACATATAGGTATTTTACTAAACATATATAGGGAGGGAGTTGAGGGTCGAAAAGGGGGGACCATAAGTTTGTTATGAAAATATTCTCTCTGGAGAGAGTGGGAGAGAGGTAGCCTCTAGAATAGCTGCCATTATCTTTTTCCTTACTGCCATTGTAACAGAGGACACATCAGACCTATTTCTTCAATAAAGAATCAGTTTTATTCATCATTTCTCATTCTCTACATTAATCTGCCATTCCTTTCTCTATCTCTTCTTTGTTTGGTCGTGGGTTCTTATCAGGTACCTTTTCTCCTGTCACTGGAAAAGGCTTAATCCATCTCTCAAAGGAGATTTCTTTGAATTTTGTTCTTTATGTACCAAATCTTGCTTATAACTTGATCTCTATTAGCAAGATTACCAGTAAGCTTAATTGTATTGCTGTCTCTTTTGGCAACCCTTGTATAATGCAGGACTTGGAATCAGGGAGGATGATTGGCAATGCTAGAGAAGAAGGTCGACTCTACTATTTTGAGGATGACAAATACATGACTAAGCAAGCTATTGTAGTTGTGAGTGACTCTACTTCTGCTCCCAATAATAAAGCAATAATGTTGTGGCACCATAGGTTAGGACATCCCAACTTTCATTATCTCAAACATCTATTTCCAAGTTTATTTATCAATAAAAATCCTAGATCTTTCAATTGTGAAATTTGTCATCTTGCTTAACATACTCATACATCCTTCCCAATCCAACTATACCAAGAATCTCGTCCATTTTCCTTAATTCATAGTGACAAATGGAGAACTATGAATTGTCTCCTTATGTAACCTAATTATCATGCAAACATGGCAACAGTGATTCATAACAACTGAACCAACTCAAACTCAGCCCATGTGTCCTTCCAAAGTTTTCCAACAAGGGTAACTTTGCAGTACTAATTTAGATAACAAAGTAAAAGTTATATACTACCCCCGTGCCTCCTAGAGAATTATATACTACCCCCGTGCTATTATATATACAGGTTTTTCCTCTAGCTAAGCCCCTACTACAGTGACCCTAAAACAGCTTTGTTTTGGGCCTATTTTTGTGTAAAACGACGTTGTTTTCTCAAAAATTTTAAATGATTTCTTGAAGGAAAAAAAATCGCTTTAGTCCTTAGAGTTATGGGCTTCTACGGAATAGTTCCTAAACTTCATATACATTACAACAAGATCTCTGAATGCAAGGGACGGAGAGGGTACGGTTTTTTGGTTTCTAGTGTAGATTAGAGCATGTTTGAGATTCAAAATGGATTTTTACATGTTACAATGATTCTTTAGTGTTTTTAGGTGAAAATATGTAGAAATGAGGCATAGGTGCCAAAAGCAGCAGCACCTGATTTTTCAACAACAAACTGGTCACTAGAAATTGCAGGCAGCAGCGCTGTAGGCTACACACTGACAACGCATCATCTGCCTTCTCTTTTTTAGGTTTCTAGGCGGCAACAGCCCAGCTTTCTTTCTTTCTTTCTTTCTTTTTCTTTTTTATATACTATTATTTTTTCCATTATTTACTATTTACTAAAAAAACATTTTTTTTCTAAGTGATTAATGGTTATTTTTAGATTTTTCATAACACCTTGCAGAAATATAGCAATTATTTTCCATGGCTTAGACATATATCAAAAGAGATCATTATTGTCCAAATAATTACTCTCCATAAAACCTTACAAAAACTAATGATTAATTGCCAAAAAAAAAAAAAAATTACAATAATTGATGATTACTCAATCTAAATGTATATTTTTTGTATTAAAAAAAAATTATGACAATAACAATGAAACAAATTTGATATAAGACCAACTTTTTTCTTTAGAGAAAATATGGATTAACATTTAAAATGAAAAATGGTCTAAATAACAAAGACTTAATAGTTGATAGTTATCATCTATTGATCATCTCTAGCTTTAAAACTGATCATGATTCTTCAATATGCATTAAAAATTTTGTTCCTTATTCTTTTGAAGTAGCATATATACATCAAATAATTCATTGCTTGATCTTATTATTTTCCTACGAAAATTTATGCTCAAATTTCAAATAATGGAAATTAACACCCTTTCGATGTGGATGCTTGCCTTCTTCTGATTTTTGACTCTTCTTATTAGATTTTCAGTCGATATAAATGATTACATGCATGTTTTTTGTTTTTTTAGCAAGTTCAAACATATTCATAAAATATATTTAAACTCAAAAACAAAAACACACATGATATTGAATACTACAAAATATATATTAAATTAAAAATTTTCCACAATTTGATGATAATTGATTATGATTTCGCTCACCTAAATTTTCAAATTATTAAAAAATTGAAATAAATTTTATTAGGCTATCTACAGCAATGCACAGGACGCTGCACTAGTGAAATCTAATTATCAAGCAAGCATAACAGCAATATGAACAGTCAAATCAAGCCTTTTAGATGAACAAGAGCTACAGCAATTTTTATTTTATTGCAGGCAATAATTTTCAGAGATGTTGAGATCCACAAAGATTATAGATGTGTCTCATATGTTCTGAATTATGAAAGTATGACTCACCAGGTGCAATCACATCAGATAATATGGTCCGAGGACTTCCTTTTGCACCATCTTTGCGAATTGGAGTGTAAACAAGTTCAATGCATTTTCCAGCATCCTCTAAATTCAAATCAAGAAATTCTGCAACATGGTAAAGAAAATAATTAGTAATCATAATAACAATCAAACTAGTAAAACATCATATTCAGTATTGCTTGACAGAAACTCACCATCCACGCTTAATTTCTCCCTGATACCACCACTTTTCACTCTAAACCATTCATTGAAGCAATTCCCCTCTCTCTGAATCACAAATAAAGGATTTAATTTCAGACAAACAGCTACAAAACGGTTAGAAATTTCAGCACCCAACAAAAAATTAGGTTGCTAATGTCAATAAAAGGAAAGGACAGCTTGTTCACTAGAAGTCTCACCCTCCACTATAAGATGCAACAAAGCTCAAGCGTTGCCCTTCCACCATTGATCCCAGAAACTCCAATGACCGACAAGTTGGATGACCTGTGCAAGATTTCAAAGATGGATCAGGAAACTAGTCCTTTCTGAGTACATTGTTACACTTGTGACACTAAATAGGATTAGAGGGGGAGAGAGAAGTAGATTGAACTTCAAAATTAAGTACTTTAGAAGTTTACCAAAAATGCTGCAAAAAAAGGGGGACGAACTATGTCAACAAATCCCATACCAGGTATGATAGGTCCAATCTGTTCAGAAAGTACGATGGGACCACGAGCCCAATCACTTCTCACAGGCTCACATGAAACCGAGACAAAGAAACCAATGTCATCAACTGAAAGCATGTATGATCCAGTAGCAGCACCTCGAATTTCAAATTGAGTGCCATCTGAACTAGTCTGCAGAAGAATAACTTGGTAAAAAAAAGCACACAGTAGGCGACAATGAGATCTAGCAGAAAAAAGCCAATTCCATCAGCAAGTAATGTTTCTCCTTTCTGCCACACAATGTCACTTGCAAATATGGCAATTTGCCCTCAAAATAGGAGAAATTTACAAACTTCATACATGCATGAAGAAAGAAGTACCCGAAACCATCGGAAAACTGAATTCCCTTCTTCACCTCCCCAATATTTTTTGTCAACACTTAATGTTGTTCCTTCAATAGCAGGTCCAACTATTTGTAGAGAAAGCAATCTTGGACTTCCTAATCATCAAACACAACTTAGCATAAAGATACAAGTTTGAAACATAATCATTATAAATAGTTACATACAGACAGCATGTCTATAAAAACCAGTTGAAACATAAGGCTTGCTTAGTATTCTCAACTGACTGAATCCATACAAATACCCAACCACAAGAAACTAAAATCAATACAACTTTCTTATAATTCAAAATTATCTTCAGCCTTCAGTTAACAGCTTAAAATTTCACATTAAATCATTTTTTATACTGGAGTCCATTAGACCTAGATGTCAGGAATTCAAATCCTTGTCACTCCATTATTTACAAATTAATTTCAACAAAAAGTAGTGGAGGAATTGCGGTTAATAGCTGCTTAATGCCAACAAAATTTAGTTTTATTGGACTTTAGCACGTATAGAAAATCAAAGATTGCTATATTGATTTACATTAATTGCAAATTTTGCTGCTTAATCTTCTTGGTTCACACTTACCACAAGCAAGCAAAACTGTCAAAACCTGAGACAAGGAAATTACCTGATCGAACACGTTCTACACCCATGCAAGTTCTTGGCTCACCTACTATCCCATCATCACGAACTGGGATGCACTGAAAGGATATGAATTTACCAATTGCATCCCTAGTAACATAATACTGAAGAACTCCAGAACTCTCAAGTATCAAGGTTCCAGTGTCGCTTTCAAACTAAAAGTTTCAAACAACAGTTAAATTCACCATAAAGTGTAATTCTTTGAAGGCCAAAAAAAAAGAAGAAGAAGAAGAAGAAAGTTAGCTGAAAAACAAGAAACCATTTGGTACATCAAACCAGACAAAAGTTACAAGATGCATATTCCAAAAGACATAAGCACAAAATCAAAACCAAAATAAATACTAGTAAATCAAACATGGTTCGATAAGACTCAAACAGTTAAATTCCATATATCTTAGCCATTTTTCTAGAGATGCAAAAATGACTATTGAAAATTTGTATCACAAAGAGCACATGGTTATAAAAGAAAAAAAAATCAAAAAAAGGCTACGCTTTTTAGCATGAGCTGTAAACCTACAAGCAGAGTAAAAAAAAAACTATAACCAGCCTCAGAAAATAAATGGCGAAATTTTTTTTCCAAAAATAATAAAAATAGCAACCGGTCTATTATGAGTAAAGAAAAAGTTCGAATTTCTACCATGACTGCAACATGTATATGTGCACATACTAGGGCGAACAGATAGGTACAGTTGTAGATCAATATAAAATCTTCTTTTTTCCCAATAGAAGAATGATTTTCCATTTTGGTTTGAATGTACGAATTTATTCATGGAAATAAAAGAAGGATATCATGACGAATGATTTTCCAACATGGGTATGGGTTATCCACAAGAGCATCAACTACAACAATGATTTTAGTGGCATGATTATGAAAGCAACATCACTTATATGCTAGCAACAAAAGTTAAAAATAAAAATTTCTTGTAGCAAGCATGTTAACAAAACTTCAATCTCATCTAACTATCATCAAGCACACAGGTCCAAACAAGTGAAAATGGAAACTAACATAACAAAAAAAAAATTGAGGTTGTCACACACACAGTTTTAGATTTAAGTGTTTACCTCATGAAGATACCAATTATATTCACTTTTTCCTTCAAGACCACCTACATAGCCGTATGATGCTGTCAATATTCCACCTTCAGTGTAGTCACCCGAAATTGATAGGAAGTTTAGGCTTGGAGGAAGAGCTGAAATAAGTGAATAAATTATATGTAGTGGATTATGTGAATTTCGAAACAGAACTTTACCTTATATTAAATCAATATTCTACAGCAAGGCAGAGGAAAAGGATTCGCTTACTCTCAACTGGTTTTTCTGATATAGCATATGCTGGTTCACCAGATTCACCATCTGGAGTCATAGGAGTAAATTTTGCAACAATGTAATAGCCAACTGCTCCCAAAGGTATGCGGAATGCCTAAATTAAGGAAAAAGTTCAACTATGAACATCCAACAAATAAAAGCAAAAAAGACACTGATTCATTATTTATGTGCACGTATAGCAACATAGAGATTTACCCACCTTTGCAATCTTTGCAGTGCTCAATGCATCAAGGCTATTCTCACCATCCAATGTTGAAGAACTAGTTTTAAACCACTGAACTCTGCTAGAACCTTCAGTTCCTCCAGTAACAGTTCCAGTTACAGTGACCTTATTGTTTTCCCGCAAATGACCAATTATCTTCACATTCTTTACTTTAGGAGGTGCTGAATTAGGTAAAAACAAAACCATCACAACAAATGGAAGTTAGAAACTTCATGCAACATGATAAAATTGCAAAAACATAACAAAGATACCCAACAACAAATACTGTAATAAATATTCCTAGCAATGGAAGAAAATGATAATGCAAGAAATCTCATAAAAGCTAATTCATATTGAAACATTGTTATCATGAACAGAATCTAGAGAACCATACCAAAATCAAAGAGTATATGTTATGGTCCCGAGTTAAGGATCTCGTGAAGGGTCGATTAATGGGGAAATCAATTAGTTTCCCTTATTCACATTTTGATTCTTTCGTGAAGAACCTATTGTGAACAGATAACAATGGGTGGTTTGTTTTAGAGACCACCAACTCTCCTAGGTTTTTCTTAATTGAATTATTCGATACCTTTATTCAGAAAGCATCCGCTCTTTATGTAGTAGAGGCCACTGAAAAATAAAGACAAACCCTAATAGGCTATTGCCTAAACAAACTCACACTAACAAAGAAAGTCTTAATTAAAATAACATACCAATTAGGACTCTCATATTCTTTTCCTAATTTGACTTATTCTTAATAAATAATAAATAAAGGCAATAAATAAATATCCGCAATATCATTGATCCACAACAGTATACGCTGACAAAAGACACTTATCAAGAACTACTCATACAAATGTCAGCAGATATGATAAAAAAGATGATAACCTTGATAGAGGAACAACTAATTTGATTTTTTATTGAGGATAAACAACCATTGCATGTGTTATAAATATAGTAAGTCAACTATAGGATTGATTTTGATGTAAATACAGTAAGTTAATTATAGGGCTGATTTCTAGGCTTGATTCTAGGGATTTAGACTGATACTGGACTTGTGTATATACATGTTGGACTCGGGCACTTCAATGAGAGAACATATTGCCCTATTCTCATATTTCTACATGGTATCAGAGCTGCTGCCCTTATTGAGCAACTGGCATCGTTGCCCTAGTGAGCTACCACATTTTTTTTCTTCTTTTCTCTTTCTGCTACTGCCCTAGTGAGCCTCCGCGACCTTGCTGCCCTATTTTCTTCCTTCCTTTTTGTTTAATGGCTGACAGAACAGAGAAGAAAACTATGATTTCTGATGTTGTTACTACAACAACCAAGATTACAAAACATAAACTCAATGGACAAAATTTTTTAAATTGAAGTAAACGGTACGTATCCCTGGAGTATTGATCAAGACAACCATCTTACCGATGATCCGCCAATTGATGATGTGAAAAAGAAGGCTTGGTTGAGACCGGATGCCGAATATATTTGCAGATTCAAAACTCTATTAACGAGTGAGGTAATTGGTCCGGTTAGTCACCGTGAGTTTGTTAAAGATCTTATGGATTATTTGGCATTTTTATATTATGATAAGGGTAATCTTTCACATATTTATGATGTATGTAAAGAGTTCTATCATCCGGAAAAGCACGATAGAACCCTTACCGAATACTTCATGAATTTCAAGTGGATTTATGAGAAATTGAATTCTCTCCTTCGTTTTGAAATTGATGTGAAAACCCAATAACCTCAACGTGAGCAAATGACTATCATGAGTTTTCTTGTAGGCCTACCACCCAAATTTGATGTTGCTTGCACACAAAACCTTTCTAGTCCTGAAGTTCTCTCTCTTCATGACACCTTCACTAGAATCTTACGTACGGAGACATCTCAACCTTCTCCTAGTACTACTAGTGCCCATGTGAGCCAAGGTAGTTGGAATGTGGGAGGTCAAGGAGGTCGAAGTGGCAAATGTGGCCAAAATAATGTTGGTTTTCGAGGTGGTAGGAGTGGTAATTATGGAGGAAATGGTAGTCGCGGACAGAATGATCAAAATAGCCCAATAACATGCTATTTTTGTGAAGAGCCTGGTCATACAAAACATTCATGTTGGAAACTTCATGGGAAAACCCAAAAGTCAGCTCATGTTGCAAACTTTGCAACCCAAGAGGCTAGTCCCGCCTCTTCCTCATCTAAAAAGTCTATAATGGTGTCCGTTGATGACTTTGATCAGTTTACTCGGTATCAATCCTCGTTAAAGTTTTCCAATCCACCTCTAGCTTTCGGTGATGGGACGAGTAAACCTACTACATGTCTTGCTTCATCCTCTTCCAAATGGGTCATTGATTCCGGTGTTATGAATCACATGACGAGTAATAAAGATATTCCTCCCCTTTTGTTTCACACAAAAATCTTCCTAGTGTCACTCTAGCTGATGGGTCAACCACATCTATTATAGGAATCGGAACAACTCTTCCTACATCATCTTTTTCTTTATCATCCGTCTTATGTTTAACCCATTTTTCATTTAATCTACTATCAATCAGCAAAATCACTCGAGCTCTCAATTGTTATGTCTCATTTTTTCCCGACTATTGTCTATTTCGGGATCTTGCATCGAGGAAGATTGTTGGTAGAGGACGTGAGTCTAGAGGGCTATTTCATCTTCACTCTATATCACAACCTATATCACGACCTATCGCTTTTTCCAACATTATAACTCGAGTTGCATTGTCAATTAGGGCATCCTTCTTTGTATGTTTTAAAGAAATTGTTTCCTCCGTTTCAAAATTCATCTCGCTTTAGAATGTGAGTCATGTCGGTTTGCTAAATACCATCGTGTGTCGTATTTTCCTAGAGTCAATAAGCGGGTCATGTCACCCTTTGAGTTAGTTCATTTTGATGTTTGGAGTCCTTGTCCAATGACTTCTAAAACTGATTTTCGGTATTTTGTCACATTTGTTGATGACTATTTTCGTGTTACTTGGTTATATTTAATGAAAAATCAATCTGAATTATTCTCTATATTTTATGCTTTTTGTGCTGAAATTCAAACTCGGTTTAATGTTTCAATACGTGTTTTGAGAAGTGATAATGCGAAAAAGTATTTCTTTGAGTCATTCAATATCTATGCCATAAAATGGAATTCTTCATCAATCATCATGTATCGACACACCACCTCAAAATGGTGCTACTGAACGAAAAAATAGACATTTACTAAAGGTTGCTAGAGCCCTTCTTTTTCGGATGAAAGTTCCTAAACTATTTTAGGTTGATGTTGTGTCTACGAGCATGTTTCTTAATCAATCGGTTATTCTCCTCTCGTTCTTTCTAGTGATAATTCTCATTCCGTTCTATTCCCTTCTCGGTCTTTATTTCCGGTCGAACCACATGTCTTTGGTTGTACAAGTTTTGTTCGTGATGTTAGTCCCAAAGTTTCTAAATTAGATCCAAAATCTCTCAAATGAGTCTTTTTAGGGTATTCATGTCTTCAAAAAGGTTACGGGTGTTATTCTCCTACTTTGAGTCGTTATTTGATTTCAGTCGATATCACATTTTTTGAGACTACTCGTTTTTTCATGAACCTACTACATATAATTGTGAGGGGGGAAGATGATATTCTCATATATCTCGTGACGACAACTATCGAATCTCATATACCCATTAAGCCACCTATCACCCAAGTTTACTCTCGCCGTACTCACCCAAGAGATCGACAACCAAATCGGGACTCACTTCTTCGCCGGCTCTTCCCTCTACGAATCCTAGTCTTAATCTTCCCATTGCTCTTCGTAAAGGTAAACGGCATTATTCTCATCCTATCTCTTTATTTACTTCTTATGACCACTTGTCTCCTTCTTTGCGTTGTTTTATTGCTTCATTAGATTTGATTTCTGTACCTAAAACATTGCATGAGGCCTTGTCCCATCCCGGTTGACGGATTACTACGAAGGAGGAAATGTTGGCTTTAAATGATAATGGTACTTAGGAATTGGTGCATCTCCCAAAAGGTAAACGGAGTTACCGGTTGTAAATGAGTATATGTTGTCAAGGTTAATCCCGACGGTTCCGTGGCTCGTCTCAAAGCTCGATTAGTTGCAAAAGGGTATGCTCAAACATATGATGTAGATTATTTTGATGCTTTTTCTCCAGCTTGCCAACCTTGCATCCGTCCGTTTGTTTATATCTCTTGCTGCTACTAATGGTTGGCTCTTACATCGGTTAGATGTCAAGAATGCATTCCTTCATGGTGATTGCAGGAGGAAATCTATATGGAGCAACCACACGGGTTTGCTGCTCAAGAGGAGTATGGGAAAGTTTGTAAACTTCGGAGGTCTTTGTATGGGTTAAAACAAAGTCCTCATACTTGGTTTGGGCGACTCGGTCTTGTGGTTCAAGAATTTGGTCTAAAAAAGAGTATCTTGTGACCATATTGTTTTCTATCAATAGTTGAAAACTGGTATTATATTGTTAATTATATATGTTGATGATATTGTGATTACTGGTAATGATGATGCTTGGCATTTTAGCCCTTAAGTTTTTTCTCCACACCAAATTCCAAACAAAAGACTTGGGTTTATTGAAGTATTTCTTGGGTATTGAAGTTACCAAATCCAAAAAGGGTATTTTTCTTTCTCAACAAAAGTATATTCTTGATCTACCGAAAGAAACTGAAAATTTAGAAGCTAAACCTTCTAATGTATCAATGGCTACTAATCTACAGCTCACAACGAGATAATGGAGAGTTATTTGCTGATCCCGAGAGATATCGCAAGTTAATTGAAAAACCAAATTATCTCACGAGTAACTCGTCCCGACATCGCATATCCTATCAATATTGTGAGTTAGTTTATGCCCTTTCCTCGAGTTACTCATTAGGCAGCATTAGAACAAATCTTATGTTATCTCAAACGGACTCCAAGGCGTGGTTTACTCTATAGTAATCATGGCCATTCCAAGTATTGAGTGTTTCTCGGATGCAAAATGGGTTGGATCTAAGATTGACGGAAGATCTACTATAGGGTATTGCGTTTTTGTTGGTGGAAATTTGATGTCATGGAAAAGCAAGAAGCAAAATGTTGCATCTCGATCTAGTGCAAAATCGGAGTATAGAGTTATGGCCCAATCCACATGTGAACTTATGTGGATATCTCAATTGTTCAATGAGATTGGTCTTGAAAATCCTCTTCCTATGAAATTGTGGTGTAACAATCAAGTCGCTCTTCATATTGCATCAAATCCAGTTTTTCATGAAAGAACTAAGCATATCGTGATTGATTGTCGCTTTATCAATGAGAAAATTCAACAAGGATTGATCTCTCCAAGTCATATCAGAACCGGAGAACAACTACGTGATATCTTCACCAAAGCTTTAGGGGTCCTAGGATTGATTATATTTGTAACAAGCTGGACATGATTAAAATCTATGCTCCAGCTTGAGGGGGAGTTTTGTAAATATAGTAAGTCAACTATAAGAGTGATTCTAATGTAAATATAGTAAGTTAATTATAGGGCTGATTTCTAGGCTTGATTCTAGGGATTTAGACCAATCCTAAACTTGTATATATACATGTTATACTGATGCACTTCAATGAGAGAAAATATTGCCCTATTCTCATATTTCTACAACATGGAATGGAAATGGATGGAATAAAGAGAGCAAAACAAACAATAAAATTGGCCACCTAGGACGAAGTTGTACCACTTTTGCCAAAAATAGCTGGTGCGTCACACTAATTGAATTTCATTTGAGGACAAGTACTCCCTTTCACACACACACACACACACACACACTCAAAATTTGAACAGAATGGCATTAAAAAAGAAAGAACCAGTGAAATTGGCTACACCAAAAGTTTCTCTGCCTTGGCCACAAAGGCTGATGTATTAGATAACTGAATGAAACAAACAAATTAAAGAAGAACGGCAGACATAACAATAGAAACTTGAATTGATACAATAAACTAATTTTAGTTCCCACAATAATTAAATTTTTCCTAAGTTGGACAAAATTAATGAACTATGCTGAGACATTGACTAGTTGACAATTGCACAAATAAAAGTGAATCTACTTTCTTATATTTATTTAAACTAGCACATTTGCTTCAGTTATGTTGATTTAGGGTACCACAGATTGAAAGAGGTCGAAAAAAATGATTTTATTCTTGAAAAAGACCCAGTACTTGCCAACAAATATGAGCTTCAAATCTATCAAATGCCTCCCCCAAACCAGCACAAGAAAAAAATAAAAATAAACAAGAAAAAATATGCCAGTATCATTTCAATCTACCTTGCTTCACTAGTTGAGACAATATTGAAACAGATTCCCCTTCCTGCCCTGCAAAGAGTGCTAATTATCATACTAAGTTTCTTAATATAATCTATTAGAAATCTAGATGATGAGCAAAACATATTTGTTATATTTTCAACAACAAAAAGGGCAATGGACCTACCTTCAAAATTAATAGGTGAATATACAAAAGCTAAGCGTCGCCCAACATCTTCATTGGTCAAAGCATACTCAGATGTACCAGTTGATATGGATACAAAATCACTACAAAAAAAAAAAAAAAAACAAAACAAAACAAAAATTCCTTGAAATGAAACTGTAGTGTATCTCTTATAATCTAAAATTAATAAAAATAAAAAATAAAAAAGCCTAAACTAAAAGCATGAAAAGTTGAGTGCACAAAGAAATAATCCAAACCCAAATTGAAATCAGACAAGGAGAAAAGAAGGCCTTGCATAAGCAATGCTATGTGCACGAAAGCTGATTGAAGTATAAGCCTCTAAAGACAAGAATAAAAAACAACATCAAGAGAATAAGTTCTCTTCTTTTTTTCTTCTTTTTTTTTATTTTTTTACGAAGAAACAGAGGAGAGTATGATATAATGAGCACACTAACCCATTGTTCTTATTCTCACGTAACCATTCAAACTTGCTGGGACCCTCTTTCCCCCCAAAGTAATCCCCAACTCCTTTTATGATATTCCCTTCAACAAAATCTCCAATAATTCGAACATTACTGACTGATGGAGGTGCTGTCACAATGAAACATAATCTTTCAGTATCCGATGCCATACTGTTTGCATTTAAAAATAAAAGGAGAAACAATTTGGCAAGATATAAAGCAGATATGACCACTGAAGAGAGTTAAAGTCAGAAGATGAGAACAAGCATTCTGTATTTTCTATGAAATCCTAACTAAATTCCAACTTTTCAACTGTTTGAGACTAGAGGATTCACATCCATTATAACTAATTATAATAGTTGAGCATAAAAAAAAGTTGATCATGCAAAATATGAGAATATTTCATCACTCATGCTAGAAAAAGGTTTCATTTTCAGGTTCATTCGTTGAATTCGAATAAATGAGAAAGTACTTCCTCTCTTTTTCAACATACCAAGTATACCTACAGTAAGCTGGGGATGAGCATCATGAATGGAGAGTTTTAAATGATTTTTATTTCATAAAAGAAAGTTCATACAGATGCCATGGAGCTCAAACAGTTGATCATAGGAAAATCATTTTGTTTAAATTCGATATAAGTTTTGGAGTGGGTCAACCCATTCTCTAGCGATATATCTTTGGGATACTCCCCTTAGTAAAGGAACCAAGCATATTTCCAATAGGAAATTCAAAAACATGTAGAATGAAAAATAAGAAGTTGAAAAGAAAGCAGCAACTACACTAACTGATCAAGAAGTTTGTCCCCTACACACCTGCTTTAACAAAATCAGTATATTTATATTGAGGTTCCCCTTTGGCACCTTCTTCTGTGACTGGTGTGTACATAAAAACCAAACTTGAATCAATGTCATCTAAAGTTAAACGATACTCCTCATCTTCTGATCCTGCAATAACCACCGGGCTGCTATTCCATCTTCTCCTCAACCAACTGAAAGATGGGAATAGTAAAGTTATATTGCATATTTTGACATTGTTATGTATATCCTGCAACCACGTTATCAACCTTACCTAGCAACACCTTTCCCTGGAGTTCCACCACACCATGCAATCTCAGCATAGCCTTTGATAACACTTCCTTCCACCAGCTCTCCTTGCACTTCAAGGTTCACAACCTTTGGAATTCCATTTCCTTTATAGGATGGAAAAGTGAGGTTGAAAGACATATGACGTAGTTACATGGTTGAAGAAAAGTTAGAAAGATGTTAGGTCAAAGGAAAAGTTATCATGTATTTTATATCATACTCTTTCTTTGACAGAATATCAGAACCTACAATTCCTCAAATGTTTGCATGTATGTTTGTCTGTTTCTACATTTTTAAAAGGTCTTCTTTATTGTAGATGTGAAACCACTTTGATGTGAATCATCGAGTACAAATTACAAATCTATTCAGAAAAATCAAATAACAGCATGTAATAACTTAGAAGCTAAATTAACATGCAATTAATCCAATATTAACCATTCATTTACCAAGAAAATAGGAACAAAACATACCAGGTGAAACTCGTGAAGATATGGCAAAAATAGCAGGATACTCTATTTCGCCCATTATGGGAGTACACTCCACTTTCAGAAATTTACCAATGTCTTCATGCTTTGGCCAGTATACCTGACCATCATATGATGCTATCAGCATGGCATAAGATGAAGATGTCTGCTCAAAAGTTCATATATGGCATGAATCAATTACCTCTCCAGTGACATCAGGAATAGCAGCAAAGCTTGAAAGTGCTCTTTCTCCTGCAAACCATTGATACTTTAAGACTAACTGCAGATCGGCCCTTAGATTGCTGTCTTGAACAAAAACGAAGTGGCAGTGGCAAGCATCTTCTTCAAAAGGATGATCTACCATCGCATCTTTGAGCAGATAGCCTGGAGGGAAATGCTCTTTCCATTGCTCATAAAGAAAGCGAAAAGTTGTGTCTGTTCAGCAGACCACAGTTCAAGTTAAAATTTTTCACAAAGGAACCTTCATGAATTGGCAAGATCAACAATAAACACTTGTTGCAAGATGGCTTCACAAGCAACAGCAGCCTAACATTCACGTGTTACATAACATGGCAGTGGAGATTCACAACATCACCCTTGCTTGTGTTGCCTTATAGCTTGGTCTATGTTTCATAGTCTTTAGTGGTCCAGCAATTTCCTCGACATGAACTCATTATGCATTAAACCTGATTAAATTGCCTTCTCAGTAGGCAATCAAAGAATCAAAAGAAGAACTAGATAGCGGTGCTAATCAGACATAAGCGCCTTTATGGCTGGTTTTGTGACAGTGAGGCTGAAAGTGGCATAGTGAAGGATTGCTCAGTATGTTGATACAAATTTAATACAACAGTAAGTGGACTGGTGTCTGTTGAGTAAAGTAACAGCCACATTTGTCAATCACCATCTGTTGCTTAATCTGTGCACCAGATAAATGCTTACGGAGTTGTGCATGAAGCTGTGAAATTTATGGCAGGTATAATTAAGGTGGGTATGAATGCATGGAGAAGGTACTGTTTCCATATAAGAAACAAAAGATATTTGGCATTGTATCATATCAGCTACTTTCTGTTCCTTGAAGAAATACCACAAAAGAGCATTTATGGGAAAATTATCATCACCCACCTATTTGAATGATATTTATGTCAATACCATGCAGTATTGACATGTGGAACAGTTTTTTGTTAATGAGGAATATTACTGAATCCTTATTGATTATTTATTTTGTTGGAAGTTTACGTGTAATGAAGGTGCAATGAAGTACCAGGGCCTGTACCTTCTTAAACCTAGAAATATCAATTACCCCGTTCATAACTAATTTACAAGATCCTGTTTACTTTTATTCATCAAAAACATTGTACAAATTCATGTGCGCATGCACAACAGACATGAATTAGCATGTCCACATTTAGATAATAATGCCATCCGTTCTTGATTTCAGAGCCATGGCCTCCATCATTGATGTAATTACGCATTCAGTGATGGAGAACAAGGAGAGAAGAATCAGAGCAGAGATGATTGAAGAAAAGAGGAGAGGAAAAGCACAAAGAAAGGAGATAAACCAAGAAGAAAAAGGAGAACAAAGAGCTTTTGCAAGAACAATAAACGCTAATGTAGCCCAAAAAAATTGGTAAATAGAAAAGAAATATTTGATAGGGAATTGAATAAACAAAATTGGCTTGGAAATAGAAAATAAGATAAAAATTCTAATATCCACCAAAAAACACATGCAATCCTAGCTAGTTCTCCATTTAGATACCACATGAAGTTCGATGCTTGCATACAGCATATGTAAGCAGTATGAAAAATCATCCTCCTAGAACATACTAAGCACAATAAAATGATCATAGTCAATAAAAAACACTTTCTACCATAGGGGCTTCTCCCCTGAGCTAAACAAAATCAACATAGCAAGAGATGTGATGATTTATTTGATGTAGGTTCCTTAGTCCAAACCAAGCACCAACAGAGAATGTTTTGCAAAACGCATACCTGCTGCATTCTCAGGGCGAGAAAGTTCCCAACCATCTCTAATGCACAACGCTGTGCATGCTGGATAACGCTTTGCAATTGCAACCTCTTCTCGGGAAAGATCTATCAGAATTTCCAAGTTTAGAAAACAATGAAGAAAAGTAACAAAGTGCCTTCAAAGCAAGAAAACCTAAAAAGTGAGTACCCTATTTTAAGGTGCAGAGAAAATAAGAAGCAAAGGAAATTAAAAGCAAATGCAGATGCATGTCCTGTATATGAGGAACAAACATATCATTCAATCTCGTATAAAGACATTTTGAAATATGCACCAGAGTACCTCTATCATTAAACTTTTTCAAGGTAGGACCAACAAGCAAAATTGAGGCTGCTTCTACATGGGGCATCTTAAGTATAGGATTCTCCTCCACTCGCAAATGCTGCAGCACAACACAATATTAAAAATGTTAAGTGTGTACTCTGCTTGTAGGTTTAAGAAAAAGAGCAACATGTGTTTCATTCATCTGATATCAAAGAATCAGAACTTGTCTCCAACTCTTGTACCACAGGAAGATAAATATTAGTGTACAGAAGATGAAAAATATATAAATTGCATGTCGATCCTTAAAAATTAAGACATTGCCAGCAGAAAGTTGAATGCAAATGAAAATATTTGAGTAGCTTCTTTTTACTCCCATGTCCAAATACCACTGAAACAGATTCCATGACAGTCTCTATCCCTAGGCACTGTCATCTCACCATATTGACCTTCAATATTTTTAAACATGAGGAATTTTTTTTTTAACACAAGGTAAAACTTAAAAAGAAATCTTAATGATGAAGATCGAGATACCTCCAACCATTCAATATTGATTTACATGGCACAAGAAAGCCTTAAGCTCGTGAATGGTTGCAAAATACTTCCCTTCATAATTTCTAAACCTTAATGAGAAAAATTCGTGAGTGACTTGAAACGTAATCCAGTGTCTTGTCAAGAGAATCATATCAATTTTGCTGTCAACAAACTTACTTACATCGGTATTAACCACATTAATTGTACAGTCAAACTAGCTACAGTTGTAGGAACCCAAACAAGACTGCGCAGAAGGAAACAGAATGGTTGGGCAAGGCAGTAAAGAATGTGAAAATACAAGACCACTTCAGAAATCATGTCATGCTTCAAAATTTAAAAAACAGAATTAGAATACTTAAAACTAACCTCAAGGACTGGTAGATGAGGGAAGCCCTTCAGAGTTGTTATTTTGTTTTTGCTGGCAGCTAACACCTGAAGAAGGGGGAAAAAGGTGAAAAAGTTGAAGATAGTGATTCAATCATGATTTCGTAGCATGCTGGAGTATTAATAGACAGCATGCACACCTGTAGTCGAGGTTGGTCTGCCATTGACAGAGACTTTAACTTATTCTGAGCGACCGAAAGAAACTTGAAATAAAAAGAAAGATATCAAACCATAATTACTTCAAGTACAGACAGAAATCCATTATAAATCATGAATTGTAATAACAGATCAGCAAGGCTGAAACAATTTAAAGGCTACCTCCAGGTTAGGAAGCGGAGGGAGGCTCACAAGTGACGTGATTTGATTCCCAGCAAGATAGAGTTGCTACAAGTAATAGATATTTCATCACCTTATTAAATGAACCATCATAGGCTATAGTCTATTCTAATAATGAAACTTAAGAGATGAATGGACATGAGAAACAAACCTGAAGGGCCTGGCAATTCTCAAGAGGCTCGAACCCAGGCCCCTTGAACTCATTGAAACTCAAATCAAGGACCTGGCAAAAGCAGCATTGCCTATCAGTTACTAAGCTTCTTTTATTTGTAAATAGGCATGCCTAATGCAGAACTTTGGCAAGTTTTGAATTTTGCTAATTCAAAAGTTGTCTGCACAGAAACATGGACAAGTTGTATTGTAAATGGAATCATGATCAAACATGAAACACACCTTCACACGCTTCAGTATCTCAATTCCTTCCAATGTAGAAAGAAGATTGTCTCTGAGATAAACAAACTGTCACACGGGAGTAGCAGTTAAACATTCTCTATCACTAAGCTTAGCATAGATAAGCACCGATGCATCTGGATAGTACATGCTTACCTCTAAGTTTTGTGCTAAGTTCAACCCACTAGCATTGAGACTACGAACTCTGTGTCCCCTAAGATCCAATCTCTGATGCAATCAAAAAAAAAAATGGCAAAGACCAAAAAAATAAAAAAATAAAGTGGGGAAAGGAAAAATAAGCAACCATAGTCAAGCTTGCTGTGAAGCACACATTAAATCGTTAAAAGTATGCCAGATGCTCATAGCATCTAGAGTTCTTAATGTCATTCAGCCACATTACACCACTATTTCACAAGAATTATTCGCTAAAACTTTAGAACGAAGACACAAACACTGTTATCTGATAATTGAAATCTCAAAGAGACTATTTCAGAAGAATATTTACAAAAAAAAAATAGAATGAAGACACAAACACATATCTGATTAATTGACATCTCAAAGAGCAATGCCACACGTACAAACAAATCATTAAAAAAAATTTATACAACTGATGTGGCAATTACTTTTTTCATGCCTAACCAATCATCTAATGTTTGTGTGATCCACAATTCCCCATTTATCACTTGCCAGTATGTTTGAATGGAGTTTTAAAAAGAACCTATTCTTATGCATAGCAATTTCCCATCTCAAAATCTGAGAATTTGGCATTTTTTTTGCCTAAAATATTTTACAAATGGAAGAAATTGTAAAATATTTTCCCTAAAATATTTTACATTTAGCACCTGTTCCGATGAGGTTGAAATAGTTGGATGACATTGTAAGTGGAAAAAATTGTGAGTTGATTATTCTTCATACAATATATTATGGAACTTAACGAATTGAAAATATTTTGACTCAATTAAGCCGAGCATGTAGGCTACCTGTGAAACATTTTACCTTGGCCAATTTTCCATAAAATATGTTAATATCATGTTTCTTTTTTTTTTTTCTTTTTTTTTGGTGAGAGGGATAACAATAGCATGCTTACCACATCATCACCAGCTTTAATCTCTACCAGGGGAAGAACAATGAGGCGAGAATCCCGGCTTTCCGGAGTACCTGCTCTTCTCCGTCCAGACAAATTAGAAGTCCTATCCACAGATGTTGATAGGGAACCGGTTCTCCAACCACTAGAAATAGAGGGGGACCGAGCAGATGGTGAAGAAAGCTTAGAAATTGTCTTCCTGCTTATGCTACTGCCAGTACTGTCCAGCGATGTAGAAGTAACTCTTCTTGAAGAAGAAGAAGAAGAAGAAGAGACTGACAATGTTGGCTTAACTGAAGACTTCTTGACTGTCTGCGGCCTACTTAGGCCTGAACCAGTTGATGATCTCAAACTCTTATCCGTTGGAACTGACTTCCTAGTCTCAGAAACACTACTAGTTCGAATGGTGGGTTTTGTAGAAGGCAAGGAACTCCTCCTAAGATGCGGGAGGGAGAGCCTCACGGGATCTGAAACAGCATTAGTCTTTTCGCCAGAAACAGTAGTAGTATTTTGCCGTTTTGTTGTAGAGACGGATTGCTTCTCAGGAACCCCTCCAGTGCTGTTTCTTCTTGTGACTGGAACTGAATTGGTTTTGCGGGAGGATGGAGTTGTGGTGGTGACTTTTGAACTTGAAACCGAACTGTTTTTTGGTTCCGTCTTCTTTCGAACAGAACCAGTTGGTGCTAAGAGATTTGAAGTGTCTGAAATGGTAGGTTTTGTGGTTTTCGAAACCTTCATGGCGATTTCCATTGTGTTAGCAGAGGACTGCTGCTTCTGTTTCTCTGAAGTTGGAAACTTTTTAGCCGCCTCGTCACCCAATGGTTCCTCCATTTTTACTTAAGCTCAAGAAGCCTGATTCTTGTTCAAGAACAGCAAGAACAAGACGTCATTTCAATTTTGAAAACCCCCAGCGACATGGATGCAACAACTGGAAATGCTAAATTACTATTAAACCCCGGAAAGCAAAAGAAAACCCAAAACAAAACAGAAATGCGGTGAATGAAGGAAAAGTAAAAACCAAAACTGGTTGTTGAGAAAATGTCGAAAAGAAAATAAGAAAACCCGAGAGAGAGAGAGAGAGAGAGAGAGGGAGGGAGGGAGGGAGGGAGCAAAGTTTTTCAACGTTAGGAGAAAAACACACATTTCACGCAAAACCCACAGTCATGCCATTATTTGTTTTGGCTAAGGAGTCCTTTTCACTACTCTTTTTTAAAATAATAATGCAAATATTCCACAAACAAAAAATTTTAAAAAAAAAAAAAACACCGACAAAGGGACCTAAAACCTTACAAGCTAAAAACGATGAAGATAAAACCTGAGAGGTCTTAAAAGGGTAACATGTATCCTTGGATTCAAATGATGGAACTTGGATCTAGAACGAAATGCAGCTTCTTTAGCAAAACTCCCAGCTTCCTCTCCTCTTTGTGGATCCAAGCGGAAGGAATGTGTGAAAGAATACAGACGAAACAAGTAAAAAAATTTACTTGACAAAATGGAAGAGAGAGAGGGAGACTTACTTGTAGTTGATGATGAAGTAGATCTTGCTAGTGAAGGCACTTAAACTCTAGCATTTCAAAAACATGGAGAGTAGCATATAAAACCCATAAACTAAAGGGCAATTCCTTCTTGCTTTGCTTTCTTCTTTTTGTGTCTTCTTTGTTTTTGAAAAAGGAAAGTAAAGTAAGAGAGAGGGAGGAAGGAGAGAGAAAGAGAGGCAATATTTGTTGGTTTGATTATTTCTGCCGTCCCTGTGCTTCGAATGATTGATTAATCAGATTATTTTACCAATTTAATTATTAATTGAGGTCTAGTGTCAAATTAATTTGTTTAATATAAACCATTTATAAAAATGTCATTAAGGGCGTTTGGTCAAATGGTTGATGAATCAACACTTATCCTTTAACCACAAAGCCAACAAGTCAAAATAAATGTCAGTTAGCTATTGTTATTAATAAAAAAATCCATATTAAATAAATGGATTTAATATAAGAATTCAATCAATAAGTAAATTAATAAAAAAAAACTTAATTAATCAATTATTTATAATACATACAACATATCCATGTAATAAGTAAATGCATTTTTTTAATTATCGAAATTATTCAAGTTACAATTAAAAAGGTCTTATCAATAAAAATTCTAGTTGTCTGGAACCTATAAATCGCAATCCATTTTATTATATATATATATATAACATGAAAACATTTTTAACTCATAAAAGAAAAGGTTCGTTTGGCTATTGTTTTTATGAGATAATAATGGGGAGGATGACATCGAAGTCCGATGAATGCTTTGGAAGATAGAAAAATAAGAAAAGAGTCGTTATCTAATATTGAGAAACTAAAAAATCTAAATGATTAGTCTACACATAATTCTAGGTTAGGGATTGGTTACGGATAGAAAAGATCAAAATCACCACTATTACATTTTATTTGAGATAGATCGCATTTCATACATGTTGAGTGTTAAGACGTGATCTTATTATATTGTATATCTATGTCTATTTGGGTGTACTTTATCTATTGATTATGAATTGCTTGGTTGAATGATTCAAAAATTGGCCCGTAGTAGCCCTCATTTCTTATCGCAAAAAAAAAAAAAAGATTAAAAATCGGCGAGCCACTAATAACGTCAAACCCACAAACACATCTAAATTGATGAGGCACTAATGGCGTCGATCTCATATGATAAAAATTGACGAACTACTAATGGCATCGAGCCTATAAATACAATTAAATTACAAGCCACTAATGGCGTCGATCCTACAAATTCATATTAAATTAGCGAGCGAATAATGACATCCAATCCATAAACACATTTAAAAAATTGACGAGCCATTAATGACGTCAAGGCTATAAGTACCTATAAATTGACGAGTCACTAATAGCATCAAGCCAATAAATACATTTTAATTAACAAACCACTAATGGTATCGAGCCCATAAATACATTTTAATTGGCAAGCTACCAACGGCATCAAGCCCACAACCATATATTAAATTAACGATCCACTAATGACATCAAGCCCATAACACATTTAAATTTGTGAGCCATTAATCGTTTCAAGCTCATAAACATAAAAAATTATCATATTACATTTAATTAATCATAAGTACCGCATTAGCTTTAAGAGCTAACCCCAATAAATTCATCACATTCCACATAACACATCTAATTTGTCGACGTCGACCACCACGAAGAAGGGCAAAACAATGAGTCGCTACCTAGCTAATCAAGGAGAATTAGAAAAACTATAACATATTGGTCTACGTGGATATTTGAGTAAGGGTTTGGTTATGTATGGAAAAGATATGACATCACCACCATCTCATCCTACCTAAGGTAGATCGTATTGTTTGTCTATGAATAAAGATCTAGTTTTTTATTATGTTATACTTCTATATCTATTTAAATGAGTTTATTTTGTAAAAATTCAAAGTAAAATGGTTTAGGTGCAAAACAATATAGTTTAGGAGTTCGAGCCAATCTAAGCCCAATACTATCTACCCAAAGAGGGAAGGTGGGGTAATCTAAAATTTCAACTAATCATTAGTAAACACGACCTATTATTAACCAATAGGTGAGTTTCTAAAGGTGAGTGGCCTTTTATTGGTATAAGCAATGAGTCACCAATAATTTCGTTCGCACAAATAAAAAATCGTCGATGACTTTGAGTCACGAGTTTAAAGCTAACGATAACCTTGTCACACAAGTTAGAAGTTATCAATCACTCTATTTAGCTCGAGTAAGGAGCGGATAACTATTTAAAAAGCCATCGATGGCTTCCTCACATAAATAGAAAGTCACTAGCGACTTTGTTTCAAATAAATAAACATTAAATAAAAATTATTTTGAAGTCACTAAGTGGCTTCGTCGCATAAGTGGAAAGCCACCGATAGTTTTGTTTTAATGAAATAAGAAACAAACAATAGAAAATAAGAATCAAGAAAAAGGCATAAAAATCAAGAAAAACAAGAATCGGGAAACGGATAAAATAATTTTAAAACTACTAATAGCTTTATCACATAAGGGAAAAGCCACAAACTGACTTCATTTTATCATTACAAACAACCATAAAGAGTCAATTAAACCACAAAAATAACACAAATGTTGTATTTAAATAGGTAGGCATAATAATAGGAAAAAATGATATTTTATCGATCATTGCAATAATATTTCATTTTAACGAGCAATTAATTCATAAATGTGAAACCAAATAATGCAATTTTAATCACATTCCAAACACACCAGTCATTTTTAACCTTTATCATATTTTCGAAGTGCTATGTTTATAGGATTTTTACCCAAAAGTCCCGAAATATCGATGTTCAATTTGAAGTCAATCTTATCATCTTCATTCTCAATGATAATCGATTATTTGATTAGCCAAGAAAGGAGAGTAATCGTTGGTGGGCAAGGTGTGGCATGAGAGCCATTAGAATGGCCAAAACTCCTCCGCTACTCGGGTGAATACTCCAAAGTTATTGTAAAATTTACGAGTATTACTACTACATAGTTGTAGCATTCCCGAAAGCTCAAAGTGGCTTTTGTTGATTATTTTTCCGTTATAAAAATCAAACAAACATAAGTATATAACATCATGTTGTTTCGTCAACACAAACTAACAAAGAAAAAAATTAGCCTTTCCTTTTTTTTTCTTTGCTTTTTTTCTCCCTTTTTTAGGAATTCTAAAAGTGTCGAGGGCTATTTTGAAGGAGGTTTATGGTTGTTTTGGTGAATGTTTTAGAGGTTTTTTGGGGCTATCTTAAACATGGTTTGACGTGTTTTAGTGGCTATTTTTGTGGTTTAAAGGAGTCATCAAAATGAGTTTTTGAGGGTCGTTGGTGATTGTTTCAAGGCTAGCTTTGGGGGTTTTTGTGTGTTTTTTAAGTCAACTTTAGAGGGGCTTTGGTGTGTGTTTAAAGGTTTAGTTTATCTTGGGTTTTGAAGTTTTGAAGGAGGTTGGAGTGGGGTTTTTGGTAGTTATGTTTCGAGGTTGAGAGGTTAGGTCGTTATGGTGTATTTTGGGCTTAGGAAGGAGGCTGGAGTGGGTGGCCTTCGTGGTGTGTTTTGGGGCTAGTTGGTGCGGGAGCTAGCAGTAGGCCGAGGGGCGATAGGTATGAGCGATAGAAAGTCGTGTGAGAGCATGGAGTTTAGCGGAGAGAGAGCTACGTGAGGATGTGGTGGGTCGACTATAGGTGTTGGCTAGTGAGAAGGAGTTTGGGCGAGAGCCGGTAAGCAATGTGTGCGAGAGGGAGCAAGGGCATGGAAGCTTAGTGGGTGAGAAAGCTTGGGCAAGAAAGAATTGCATAAGGAATTGCTTTGCTGGCAATGTAGGCTGGAGTTTGTGGCGTTGGCCGTTGCGAGAGGACTGCTAGGCTAACAAGGTAGAGTCGAAGTTTATAGTATGGGTCTGCGAAAGGGGGCTGCTAGGCAATATGGGTAAGAGAGAGCCGACGAGGTAGGGGTTATACGGAACAAAGCTATGGACGTTGCGGGTGTGGCCTAGCGTGAGGTCGGTTAAGCGTGGCTTATGAATGAGAGAGAAGGGGCTTCATTGGGCACGTGTAGGAAAACGGTATGGGAGTTTGGTGTAGGAGTGTAGCTACTAGGTGTGTGTGGTGGTGTCAAAGAGTTGGCGAGCTGAATGGGTGGAGAGATAAACGAGTAGTCGGTATCAAAAAAATGCATGAGAGCTTTTATATGTAGGGTTTTTGACAAATGTTTAATTTGGTCATTGGTTCTCTTCCATCCATCAATTTGAGTTCAATCTTGGTTTTTTTATTTTAATTGAGCATTCCATTACAAATAATTGGGATTTTGTTATTTTAATTGGTTCCAATTGTGCCTCTCTTAATTCTAATTAAAGGACATAAGTTTTGATTTTTTCATTGGGCCCTCAATTGTCCTTTTAATTATTTCTAACTTTTTATTTTGTTTAATTATCCCCCTCCCTCTTTCTTTTTCCTCTTTTTTTCTTTTAATTAAACTAAACTAATTAATCCAATTGACTTTTTTCTTTTCCATTTTTCATTTTTTTGGTATCTTGTGACAAAAAATAAAAATTGAAGTAAAACTAATTGAGGGTAAAAATTTAGGTGATAATAGTTGTTCTCTCTTTATAATGTTTATAACATAAAGTCATTGAAAAATGTTTTTCTTTAGCTTTACATAGTTAGCTTATAAAGAAAATAGAAAACGAGTTAGAGAAGACATGACTGATCGTATTTATTTATAAGACATAACCGGCTATGTAAAAAAAACGTGACTAATCACGTTGATTTGAAAGAGACATGATCGACGATGCTTGACTTTGTAAGACATGACTTGCCATGTCAAAAGAGAACGTGACTAGCCACATTGGTTTGAGGGGACGCGACCGACTACGTTGATTTTGTAAGACATGATCGGTCTAAAATGGTTTTTTTACAAGGCATGACATAACACCACTTTGTCTTAGACAGTCATGAAAGATCATGTTTTCCGATAAGATATGACTACCTAATCTAACTTAAACCGATGGGATAAACAACGTTGGTTTTAACTAACATGATAGACCAAGTTTCTTTGACAAGATATGACCGATTATTTTGAATTGGACTTAAGTGGAGTTTTCGGAGAAGCATAGTTCGACTATTAAAACATAGGTTCCTATTTTTTCTTCATTTGTGTGTCATCTAGCTTGAATAAGCTCTAGGCCAACTACTTTCATTAAGCTTGTCTATTTCTAATTATGCCTCCTGTTTTTGTATTCATTGAGGATTGTCGCTTGGAATACTATTCGTGTCATTTGAGTGGTGTTTACTCCTCTTATTGAACAAATGCTCACTATTTTTGTATGCCTCATTGGTATTGTCTCTAAATGTTTAGGCTTTTACAACCATATATCAAAGGTCCGGCCTAAAATGGTTAAGATGGCCAGTTTATCTCAACTATCTATAGTTCGTTTTGAGAAAACTTGTAACAAATTTCATAGAGGCCGACCTTTTGTAGACCAAATCCAAGCAAGATCTTTATCAAGTTATCATATGGCAATTCAATGCATTATCATATTTCATGAATGACATCAATTATTGGATCATGCATGTGACCAAAAAAGAGTTTTTCTTTTCAAGGATCGATCATACTTATGAAAATAAGGTTTCTTGAGAGATGAAAAGCAATGAATCGGATCACATTAGGAGAATTAAGGATAAAAGAAGCAAAGTCAAATGATCGTGCTAATGGATATTTAGTCATAACTTAGATTATCTCCTTGTTGCTTTAGATAAGATAGAGTTGAAAACTTTACTCTTCTAGTGCCGACACAAATTTAGGATAAGTTTTGTCGATGTCCACTCAACGAGGAGTGGGGAAAGGGCCGAGATAAGGGAGTCGCCACCTAGCTAATTGGGGGGAACTAGGAAAACCCAAAATATACTCGCTTCTACATGGATATCTAGGTAAGAGATCGGTTACGTATGGAGAAGACATGACGTCACCACCATCCCGTCCTACTTAAGATAGGCTGCATTATTTGTCTATGAATATGAAATCTAGTTTTTATCATGTTGTGCTTCTATGCCTATTTGTGTGCATTTATTTGATAAACTTCTAAGATGAGATGGTTTAACTATGAAACAAGATAGTTCGGGCATTTAGGCCGCCTAAAGCCCATGCGCCCCACCCAAATAAAAAGATAGAGAAATTAAAATTTCGACTAATTATTAGCGAATACGACCTATTATTGAAAAATAGGTGAGTTTCTAAAGGTAGATAGCCTTTTACTTGTATGAGCTACGAGTCAACGATAACTTTACTCACATAAGTGGGAAGCCGTCGACAACTTCGAGTCATGGATATAAGAAGCTACCGATAACTTCGTCACAAATGTGGGAAGCCACCAAGCAACTTCATGTCGCTTAAGAGGAGCAAATGATCTGTTTTGAAAAGTCGCCGGCGGCTTCTTCACATAAGTGGGAAGCTACCGGCGACTTATATGCAAACAAATAAACAAAAATATTTTGAAGCCCTCCGGCGCTCCGTCATAAGTGGGAAGCTATCGATGGCCTATATATAAAAAAATAAACAAAAATACTTTTCGAGGCCTTCCGGCAACTTTGTCACGTAAGTGGGAAGCTAACAACAACCTATATGTAAACAAATAAACAAAAAATATTTTCGAGACCCTCCGGCGGCTTCATCACATAAGTGAGAAGCAACCGGTGGCTTATTTTCAAACATGATGCACACAAAAAATAAAAATAAAAATAAAATAAGGCAAAAATAAAGATGAAAAACAAATACAAAAACATACAAAATGACTTTGAACACCATCAATAGCTTTAAATCATATTGTACACCACAATCAATTAATCACCCATCGCAAAGCAAACACAAACCATGTTTTGAAAGTACATTAGTTTTAGAATTTTTACCCAAAGATCCCGTGGTTCCGATGTCTAGCTTGAAGTTAGTCTTACTCTCTTTGTTCTCGATGATAATCGATTATTCGATTAGCCAAAAAATGAGAGTGATTGTTCGTAGGTAACGTGTGATACAAATCTTATATGTTTTCTATCCAAACAAATTAAATAAAAGCAAGCAACCAAATCACAACACAATATCTATTTTTTCTTTTTTTTCTAAATTTTTTTTAGTAACACAAAAAAAAAAGAAAAATGTTTAGGGGGCTATTTTAAGAGAGATTTTTGCGTTTGTTTAGTGGATATTTTAGGGAGTTTATTAGTTGGTTTTGAAGTTAGTTTGGAGGTGTTTTGGGGTTTCTTTGATGGTTCGAAAGGGCTGCCCAAAGGGGTTGCTCTGTAAAGGTTTTTGGAGGTTGTTGGTGACGGTTTCGAGCTAATTTGGGGCTTTTGGCGAATTTTTGGTCCGTTTCGGAGCTCATTTGGCGAAATTTTAAGTTTGTTTCGGAGCTCGTTTTGAGACTACTTTTAAGGTTGTTTTAGGTATGTCCTAAAGCTTTCTTGGTAGTGTTTTAGTGGTTGTTTTGGGTGAGGGAAAAGCCGACCAAAAGGGGTCGCTCTCGTAGGGTTTTTTTTTATAGGTTTCGAGTCGATTTGGGAGGTTTTTAGTAGATTTTTGGATCGGTTTCGGAGCTAGTTTTGGGACTATTTTTATGGGTGTTTTGGAGGGATCTTAAAGCTTTCTTAGGGGTGTTTTAGTGGCTATTTTGGGTGAGGGAAAGGTTGGCCAAAAGGAGTTGTTCCGTAGCATGGGAGAGACTTAGGTTTGGTGGCTTTGAAGGTGCTAGCAGTAGGTTGATGAGAGGGAGAGAGCAGGTGTGGTGGCCGTAGGGGTATGGAGGCGTGTGGAGGCCGGCAAGAGGGCGGTTGGTTGAGCAAGAGAGAGGCGGGCGAGAGAGGGGATGGTTGGCGAGAAAGCAAGAAGTTGTCGCAGTCGAGTCCTTTTCTTTTAAGTTGATGGTGAACAGTCCCTTGATAAAAAAATGCATGGGGTTTTATATTGGTAGGGTTTTTTTTTGGTAAAAACCCACTTGGTCCTTGATTTTTTTCTATGTATTTATTTAGGTTCGATTTATTTTTTATGTTTTAATTTAAGCCTCCTCGTTGCCAAAAATTAGGACTTTTTATTTTAATTAGTTACAATTGTATCCCTCCTCATTTTAATTAAAGGGTTTGAAACTTTGATTTTTTCCTCTATGCCCTCAATTTTTCTTTTAATTGTTTCCAACCTTTTATTTTTTCGATTAAACCCTTGTTTTCTAAACTAATTACCCTAATTCTCTTTTTTCTTTTTTTCTCTTTTTTATTTTTTTATTATTTTATTATTTTTTTATCTTTTGGTATTTTCATAATAATAAATAAATAAATGAGCAAAAATTAGGTGCTAACAAGTTTGATCATGGAATGTTTTTGAGGAATTGATAGAGATCATCCATCCATCATTTATCTTTCATTGTTATTGCTCATGTTCCTCGTCTTCTTTTCGTGTTTGCGTCCGATTTTGTGAACTCATCTTTGAGACATTTTTTTATTTTATAGAAAATTATTTTTATTTGGTATGACTTTCATGAATTATTAGGTCGTCTATTTGAAAATTTTCCATCAAGATAAGTTGAATCATTCAAGAGAAATCATTGAAATGTTCATAAAAAAAGTAATCTTATTCAAAAAGGTTTTGACTTATTTGGGCAATAGACAAAATGCATCGAGTAATGTCGAGATGTAAATCTCATGGTGATCTATTTTGAGGCTAAGATAAGCAAAATGTGTTTGGATCATAAGAATTTTGAAAAGGAATGGTCTCTTCGACGGGTGATTGAAAAAAGTTTGGTCCCGAGTATGACGTGGTTGGATGAATTTCAAGAATTAAAAGAGTTTTTTGATGAATTTTTTGCTTAAATGGATAGTGTTGCTTGAAAAGGCTCGATTTATTTCTTGCTTGCCCTCGCTTTTTGATGAAAATTTATGATTCAATGTCATAAATAATGATTTGTAATACACAAACAAGTCAAGTTTTATTGAAAAATATTTTTTTCTTCTCATTCGAAGATAAAACCCATTAACA